AATAAAGCTTGTCACAATAGAAATATGTTGTTCCAATGACTTATCATGTTGAAACCAAAGTCTAATCATGTTAGAAGATATGTGATTCCATGTAAGTGCCAAAAACATGCAAAATAAGTAGGAAATGGTGTGATGATGACTTTAGAATGGTGCAAGGTATTATTAAAAAATCTTTTTGAAATGGTGATGATGTTATTATTAAAAAATCTATTTGGAATGGTGTGATAATGACTTTAATTAAGCATTTCAGTGGAATTTTGTGACAAAAAAAAAAGAAATAATAGTTTATAAACAAGTGCTGGTAAAATGTTGGTAATACATTTCTCATATTTCTTCCAGACATAACCTAACAGTAGCAATGTATTTCTCAAGTTGCATCTAAATACTACCCAAATAGTAACAATCTATTTGCATGTAATGTATTATGCCAGTAATATATTTCACAGACAACATATTTCCAGGTATCCAAACGGCCCCTTCGAGTATTTCGCCCGAACCAAAACAAATTTAAAAATACTGAGCTCACTAATTACAATCAATCTACGCTGTCCCAGTAAAGCACAATAATTGGATGCCCTTTTAGAGTTAAAATTGTTTACGGGATGGGTTGATGAGGTTGTAGCTTACCTGGTCAGTGTGTTTGGTTGAATTTGGACTACACATGAGGATCTAGTCCACTGGGCATGGATGGGCTTGGGACCGCTTGACACAAGACAGGTCTAAGAACCCAATAGGTCCAAAATACAGGCTCAAGTCCTCATTGTCTCATAGTCCGGATGAACCCAATTCCTAAGTTAGGTAGGGCTGATCTCCCATGCCTATATTCCATAAACCATCATCTTATATTTTTACATGGAGAGAGTGGCAATCCTAATCCTCCTGAGCGTAGTGAACATCTAGTCATGATGGTCATCACCATCCAATCAAAATGTGTTAGAGCTAAATTGACCACCATAGTACCATCTCTAGGAGGCTCTCTCTCTCTCTCTCTCTCTCTCTCTCGCTCTCTCTTTCGTGTTGTTCTCGGAAGCCCACATAATGTGGGATTTTCTTTGTGAGTGATTTTGGATATCTATTTTTTTGGGTGAAAGCATTCCTCATTCACAATTTACAAATGGAAATGCAATTTGCAGAAGGAAAGAAATTTAGAGGCAGATAAGTCAAATAAAGATAAGTGGGGTTGTGTGTACGTACCATCAGCATCCCTTTGACGTGTTCCATCTGAAGTCCCTCATTGTGATCCATCAGCTCCAAAAGCACCCCCAAAAAATCGCTCTCTTTTATCCCTCTCCCCGACTCTTCGTCTCTTTCATTCACCATTCCCTTCTCTCTCATGTCCTTTAGTCTCCTCTCGATCATCTCACTGAAAATCCCATCAAATCTCTCCCTCAGTTTCTGGGCCCTTCTCTCAACGCCTTGCAGGTCCAAACCCCTCAAGAAAGGGAAGAAATCGGAAGCGTTTGGCTCCCCTGAAAGCTTCAAAACATCCCGAACCATGCCTTTCAATTCCGTAGCCAATTCATCACCTTTTTTGAAAACATAATTTCCACATACCATATTCTCCACTATGCCCAACATTGTGGAAAAAACAGTGGACCCAATGTTAACTGAATTGCCCTTGATTGACTCTTCATATATGGACGCCATAGTTTTAGAGACCTCAGCTTTTCTGAATTTTTCCATGGAGTTCAGCCTTTTGGTGCTGAAGAGCTCAGTGAAAGATAGTCTTCTAAGGAGTCTCCAATGGTGTCCATAAGCGGCCCAAACAAGGCTATTCCCACCGTAAGACAAGGTCTTCGCAGCCAAAGGAACAGGCCTGCTCGAGAATTTGCGATCATGGGTTTTGAAGATTTGTTTGGCTGGGTGAGGGGATGATATTACCACTGCCTTTCGCATGCCCAGCTTGAAGGGCATTATGGGTCCATAGGTTAGAGAGAGAGCAGCCAGAGATTGGTGTGGGAGTTTGCCAAGGAGATGGAGGTGGCCTATGATGGGCCACTTTGGGGGGCTTGGTGCTTGTGCTTTTGCAGATGTGTAGTTACTGATCAGGAAAGTTAAGAGGAGGAAGATTAGAGTGGATACTGCAACAACGATCAGGAGCATTTTTTGGTTTATCCCTTCTTCTCCTTCTTCTTCTTCTTCTTCTTCTTCTTCTTCTTCTTCTTCAGAGAGAGCACTTGAGCTCGGTTTACTTTCCCTTTTGCCACTAGGATGCTCAGAATTAGCGATCAGAGGGAAATACTGATGAGAAAACTTTAATGGAGTTGTTACTTTTTGTACGTGAGCAATTTAGCAATTTTATTTAAGGAAAAAGTTTATATAGACAAATTTGACCTTACCTCAAAAATTTCATTAGAGGAGGTTGTTTTAATGTTCAAATATCTTCAAATTGACCATCTTGACATCAAGAAGCATGGACATGAGAAAAAAAATAGATTTCAAATTTTAAAAATAATGTATTTTGTAACACATTTTTTGACCGATAACCTCTTATTTCATGACATATGAGGGTAAAAATTGTGAAGCGAAAAGGACTGGATGCCTTAATGATAACTCATTTTTTGACCGATAACCCCTTATTTCATGACATATGAGGGTAAAAATTGTGAAGAGAAAAGGACTGGATGCCTTAATGATCGGTTGGTAAATGTGCGAAACCCAGCTAACATATGACAATGCAACAACTTAGTTAGGTGAGATATGAGACAAAATCAACCTTCCATTTCCCCATGCCATGGGGTGTATTTATATATAATGCGTGGATGTAAACATGTTGCTGAATCATTCGTTGTAAACAACCGATGGTCGAGGAAAATGGACTTCGAGCAGATAAATGACGCATGCTACCCAACCGTTGTGGAGATTGGTAGTCAAACGAATCCGTTTATATTCATGCGAGAAGGCCTACGCTTCTCCCGGTGTATTTATTATGTACCAGCAAATGTAATCCCCAATGCATGTTGTTGAAACCGTGTACAGTTTACCCAAATATTTTATATGGTGGATAGCCTTTGCAAATCCCTTTTAGGTAACTAATTGTATAGAATATATTTTGGAAATCAGTTTTTAATTTGTTGAGATTTTTGTATCATCTATATAAGGAAAAAGTTTATATAGAGCCAAGGCTCTAAACAATCGAATTAGAGCCCACCTAAAAAATTTCACTCTAAAAGGTTGTTTTGATGCCCAAATATTCTCAAATTGATCATCTCGACATCAAAATGCATTGACATGAGAAAAAAAATGGATTTCAAGTTTTGGAAATGGTGCATCTTATATTGCATTTTTTTACCGTCAATTTCAAGTTCTCATATATCTACTCGATCTACACTATTTTTTAAGCTTTAAACTTTATAATTAAATATGAAAATATTTTTTAAGGCTATCACAAATATTTTCAGCATTGAAACCACATTTCTCGACACTATTTAAAGTTTGGCTCTAATTTGATCGTTTAGAGCCTCGGCTCTATACAAACCGCATCCTACGTATAATACATGGTAAATGAAATAACAGGCACAACTGAATAGCCCTTCAACCATGGATATAGGTCCAAAAGACCGAACCACAACCGTGGATGTAGGTCCAAGAGACCGAACCACGCTTCTTTTTTCTCATCTTACCTCCTTGACTCTTCTTCTCAATTTTTTCAACCTGGTATCAAAGCACTGATCCATCTGTCTTCAGGCTCTTTCTTCTACAAAGTAGTTCATTGGCATCACCAAACCATCTTGCTGCCCATAGAACTCAGTCACAATAGTGACAGTTATTGTTGTGCTTAAGTTCAACAAAAGAAGCTTGTTGTCCACATCCTTCATCCACGGTTGTTGTCAATTCTTCTTTCAACTAGGTGCATCAAAGAGGCTTTTATTCAAAGATCTTGTTGTCCACAGCTGCAGCCAATTTTGCCTGTAATCTCTGAGCCTTTTTCTTCTAAATGGGGGATCAAAATTCCATTAAAACATTGTAATGCATGAGGGCAATAACCCAAATTTGAAAATTAGTCTCATGCTTCTTAATGAAACCAATTATGAAACTTGGTCTAGAGCTACAACCATGTATCTCAACAACAAATGTAAGTTGGGTTTTATGAGAATGAAAAAACCAGCCCCAAAACCTAATGATCCTACGTATAAAGAGTGGGAGTCTGGGAACAACCTCGTCAAGTCGTTGCTTATAAACTCAATGGAACTACGATTTGGTGAAGGGATTTATTTCCAGCCTATTGTTGAAGATTTGTGAAAGTCTCTTAAAGAGATTTATGGAGAAAAAAATAATGCAGCCATGATTTTCCGTATCAAACAATATATATGTCAATTTAAACCGTAAGAAAAGCCATTTAGTAAGAACATTGGAGTGCTTGGAGGCATGTGGGATGAGTTGTTCCAATGCTCTCCCATAACTGCTGATATAAATAGTAGAATAAGAGAAGTCAAAGAAGATAAATCCTTTACTATGTTGGCATGCCTTGCTCCTGATTATGAGGCCATTAGAAGTCAAATTTTAATGGCTTGTGAATTCCCTTCTTATATTTCTGCATGCACCACTATTCATAAAGAAGAAACTAGGTGCAAGGTTATGGACCATGTCATTGAAAAGGAAGATCTCAATGGCAACATATCAGCCTTTCTTATTGAGTATCAAAAAAGTAAAAAAATTATCTCTACTGATGACAAATTCAAGCATACTGGCCGTGGTCATGGTCACGGTTGACCAAAGTGTGCTCATTGAAAAAAGTTGGAAAACTTGTTGCCCAAAGTGATATGCTCATCCATGTTGACAAGTTAAAAGAGTTACTTCAACAATTTGGGAAGGCAAACCTTGCTTTTTCTTTTGAGATATCACTTACTACACAAGGTACTGCTCACTTAACTTCTTATAATTGTCATACTCGAATTGTTTATATTGGAGCTACATATAATGTGACTAGCCATTGTGAAGGACTCGAAGGTTTTGAATACACGTCTTCAAGGAGTCTTGTGTCATTGGCTAATAGGACTATGATACCAGTTTGTGGAGTAGAAAATATTAACATTGTTTTTAAGGATAAGCCATCTGAAATTTAATATATCCCTTATTTCCCTTCGAATCAATTATTAGTTAGTCAAATCACAAAAGCCTATAACTGCTTGGCTTTTTTTTTTGTTGACAATGTTGTTTTTCAGGATTGTAGTAAGAAAAAATCTGGGGACTTATGACCTCATTGACGATATGACCCTTGATAAAGCAGAATGACGGATGAGGATTCATTTAGTTGACCCCAAATAGTTAGAAAAAAGCTTTGATAATGACAATTACCCATGTTTGTTTTTTATTATAAACCCTTGTTCTGTGTTGCTAACTCTAAATAACAAGTGGTATTATTACCATTTCACCTGGGCCACTTAAATGGGTTAATTTACCCAAAATATCCATGTTTGTTCAGGTTCTCAATCCTGAATATGGGCAATTTGGTATTTTTAACATAGTTTCAAAGATGTAACCAAGTGAAATGGAACTTAAAATTGAAAATTGGATTATGTAACTTGGGCAATTGTATACCGATTAAAAAAAAAATTTATTTTCTTTATTTTCACTACCCAGATTACTTACATATGTCCAAATACATAAAAAAATACAAAGAATCCCAATGACTCTCACTTTCTTCCATTTTAACAACCGTCAAGACCATAAAAATTCCATAAACTTGATATTGGGATCATAAAACACAAACTGCAGAAATAGAAAATAAATTGCCAGAAAATTACCTCAACTCGACTTTGCACACGTCACTTTGGGTCTCCTCCTCCGATGACACACATGATCATGGTCTTTCTAAATCTTGAAAGTATGGGAAACCTTACGCTATCAACCCTTTCAAATCAAATGATAATAGTGAAACTGTAGACTAGGTCTCAAGACCTAGTATGATGTACTAGGTCTCAATACCTATGCTTGGGTCAGGGCCAGGGCCTTCTTTCTTTTCTCAAAGATAGCTCTATCTTAGAGATGCTAAAAGAGAGAGAGAGAGAGAGAGAGAGAGAGAGAGAGAGAGAGAGAGAGAGAGAAGAGAGAGAGAGAGAGGAGGAGGAGGTCGTCGTACGACGTACGTAGTAGAGAGAGAGTAGTAGTAGTAGGTAAGGTAAGTAAGTTAAACGTTAAACCGTTAACGTT